CAGTATCACGGTAAAAAACGATGGTACAAGACACAAAGGATATATTCACATTTAAATGCTGGAGTGCTCTAACGATAACCGCTTGTGGTTTTCCAACCAAATATAAAGAAATCACACTATCACGCTTGAATTCCATCACGAACAACATTTTTTATGGAAAATTCTCACCAAAATGCTTTTGTACGCTTGTAAACAATATCATGAGCTGTCACTGGAATAATTTTAACAGCTATCGGACGAGTGGCTTAGAAATCACAGCAATATGATGTTTGTTGCAGTCTTTTCATCTCACCCTGTATTCCAACTTGTTGTATACTAAATTGACCCTGAAAACGTAAAAAATATATAAATATAATATGAAATTATAATATCAATAGGTTTTAGTATTACAATTATTATTCAAATGTCATTTTATGATATACAATTTCTAAAAATTATATTTACTTTATTTTTTTAAGATTATTTTTACCCATTTGAAAGACATTTGCAACACTTTTCGTTGCCGTTTTTGCCAACTGAGCCTCCTGCTTACGAACGAAAAACTTGGAATGTCGTTTGCATTTTTTCAACTTCAACCACATTTAAGTGGTGTGATTCTATGACGTTTCCTTCACACCAGGACATTAGATATTTTTTGTGGTCATGTTTGCGTAGCACACAAGTGAAGTGCATCACTTTTTTGTTTCGTTTGACATTTAAGAACATCTCAAATAAAATTATATATACATTGTGGTTTTGTCGTTTTTCCTCTATTTCCGGTTTGGCAATATTTTCCCAAAAAAAAAAGGAAATATGTGCATTCCATTTTTCTTTTAAAGATGAGTGTTCGTTTTGTTTTTCTATGCAATTCTTCGAAGACCATGCACACACCACATGCGGCGAAATAGTTTTGTGAATTATTGTTACTGGCAGCTTTATTGTCTGGGATTTGAAATGAATTTACGCAAATGCATGTTAATGTTGGCATGGTCATTGAATGATAAATGGTTGAGAAAAAGAAATAAAATTTCAAAATTGATCTTACTATAGAGAATAAGTTAAAGATGTGACAAATTTATAGTTGAAATATAGAAGAAATTATTTTCGGTGACAATTTATGCACTTCCGACAGCCATTTCATTCCATTTTTTTCATACCCTACACCACAAGGTGGTCAGGGTATTATTTGTAATTGATGTGGTGATGCCCCAGGATCAACCTCATTGAAAGTGTATTATCTGACCGATTTCTCCAATTTTTGTCCAGAGTCACCAAAAAAAGTTAAATCACCAACAAACTCTGCGAAATTTACGCAGTATCTAAGATTGCCATATATATTGAGATGTGCAAAATTTTGAAGAAAATTTTATTCTATAAATTCTAATTTTTTTCAGAGCTTAGATTTGCTCATTTTCACTCGGGAGCGAAACTTGCTCGCGAGTGAGGATTGCTTAAAGAGTGGACATTTTTTACGGAGTCTACTCTTCACTCTTTTGCGTTGTGTGGAAGCACTCCTGAGTCACACCTGTTTGAAAAATTAGAGTGGGAGCAGAATTATAGATAGAGTTTGCTCTAAAAGTGAAAATGAGTAGAACATTTTTTTTTAAGTGACTTGTGTGTGCGTGTGAGCAACAGCAAACCAGTTTTGATGTTGCTGTGAACTTTAAAGGGGGGGAGGCCTTCATACATGGTACCTCCCTATTTTCGGAATTTGGTGATTTAAGCGACATTATTCACCGGAAATGTTTCAAGTTTGGTATTTGAAGTTTGTAGTGGATACTACAGCCTAAGACAGAAAAGTGAACGTGGTCCCATATAACGGTACCTCCCGATATTTGATATTTTAATGATTTTAGCGACATTATTCACCGACATTGCTTCAAATTTGGTATTTGTAGTTGGCAATAGATACTACAGCCTATGACAGGAAATTGTCTGTGCAGGTTCACGTTTTGGTCTAGTCTCATATAATAGTACCTCTCTATATTGTGTTAGGTCTATATTTAATCTGAATCGATTTCCACAAAATTTTAAAGTTGTATTTTATTAAAAAAAAAATCATTGCTATTGAACGTATATTAGAGGAGGTTTATATATAAAATTGGACAAAATATTTATATGCGAGCTATAGCTGTATCTAAACAGATTTGGCACAAACTAAGCAGACTTTATTCTAGTACGAACTTGCTCGTCAATATCTACAAAAGAGAAAAATGTTTGTACCTTTGATTCATGGTAAAACTAAGGTGATACAGGCATTTCAAATGAGAATGCCCATCTCAGCACTTTCTGTAATTTAGGTTCCCATATCCGTTTTGTTAATATGCAATGGAGCTTTAAATATATATTTTGGCAATGACGTGTTGTCAAATATATAATTTTGAGAAAATTTTTAAATTTTGATTGCATGATTACCTTCGAAATACTACCATGGTTTGATTGTTTGTAATTTATGGACTCAAAAACAGCTAAACAGATTTACTTTAAAATTTCCGAATATTAATTTTTTGAGATTTAACATTTTTGAGATTTCACTTGGAACTGGAGATATATCATCAGCATCGGAGGTACATCCAAACATTTAGATTTAGTATGCACATATCTATTGATCGATTATAGATACATTTTTTAAATATGGAATGTTTAATGGACAATAAATGTGGGAAATTATGTTGGAATCGGTTCAGATTTGGATAAAGGATCCTATTCAGCCATTTTCTGTCATAGGCTGTAGTATCCAGTAGGACATTCAAATACCAAATTTGAAACAATTCCGGTGAATAAATCACCAAAATATCGAAAATAGTAAGGTACCATTATATGGGAATTATACCAAAGCGTGGACCTACATAACCCATTACCATACCAAAAGTCCTGCAGACATAGTATACATTTGAGTATTTTTTTTTTTAATTTACTTTATATCGTTCAGATTATTTTCGTCCGACGTCATCTATTTGATATATGTACAAACCCACTATATACTCAAACTTCAATGAAATATGGAATGTGTAATGAAATCGGGTACAAAAATAAATTTGCAAATTATATCGAAATTGGTTCAGATTTGGATATAACACCCATCTAAATATTTTGGCCGATTTGTAAAATTCAAGTTTCAATAAAGTTTGGAATGTGTGATGGAATTTTGTCTAAAAATAAATGTTACTTAATTGTACTGAAACTGGTTCAGATTCGAATAATATTTTTATTAAGGAATAGAGACCTAATAAACCTTTGCTATGGTGCTAGACTAACAGTAATGAATAGCAATTAAAATGCCGTTCAACTTTAAAATATTGCAGTTTTCTTTACGCTTTGCATTTGCTATTACAAGTAATAGCTCCCAAGGACATGTATGCGCACTAAATTTGCAATGTTCCTGCTTTTTTGGTTGCGCGGCTAGTATATCAAACAAGTAAAATAGCTTTAAGTTCGGTCGGGCCGATCTTTGAATACCCTCCACCATTTGAACCGAATTTAGCAAACTTTAAAAAAAAAAAAATTGAAATTTGTAAAAAAAGCTGCTAAAATCTTAATAATACGGAATGTACCCCTTACATTAGGGTCTATACGATGACGTGGACCTGCATTGGTAACTTTTATCATAAGCCATTACAATATTCAAATGCGAAACTTCAAAAATTCTTTGAATAATGTTTAGCTACAAAATACCGAATATAGGGAGGTACCATTATATGGGGGCTATGCAAAAACGTGGACCTGCACAGACAATTTTTTGTCATAGGCTGTAGTATCCATTACGAACCTCAAATACCTAATTTGAAGCAATTCCGGTAATAAATGTCGATAAAATCGTCGAAATACCGAATATCGGGAGGTGCCGTTATATGGGGGCTATACGAGGACGTGGACATGTACAGACAATTTTATGTCTTAGACAGTAGCATCCATTACGAACTTCAAATACCGAATTTGAAACAATTCCGATGAATAATGTCGCTAAAAACATCGAAATACCGAATATCGGGAGATACCGTCATATAGGGGCTATACGAGAATGTGGACCTACAAATACAATTTTCTGTCATAGGCTGTAGTATCCAGTAGGACATTCAAATACCAAATTTGAAACAATTCCGGTGAATAAATCACGAAAATATCGAAAATAGTAAGGTACCATTATATGGGAATTATACCAAAGCGTGGACCTACATAACCCATTTTTAATACCTAAAGTCCTGCAGACATAGTATACATTTTTTTTAATTTACTTTATTTCGTTCAGAAGCTAAAATGTACATATTTAGGTGCCAAAAACGGAATTACAAACTTACAGATATACCCTGCCTACTATGGATGGATCGAAGAGGTGACTCCAAAATAGAATGGTAAACATTTTCGCAATTAATCCCGTCTTGTTAAAATTATCAATTGTTACTAAGGCTGAAGATTCCAAAGACGTCTAATTAAAATGGGTTGGAAATAAGCAGGTTGGCATCATGGCATTGCATATTAAACTTACAATATGCAGATTAGAAAATTTATATTTTCTGGGATGATTGACAATAAAAATGCGATGTATCGTTATATCCCATATCGGTATTCGGAAAGTTTCAGAGAGATTTTATTCGATATTTATGTAGCCTCAAATTTACCAATTTTTGATATTCCTAATGATTCAGTCAATATTTTGTAAAAGAATAAATAGGATACAAAAAGACGATTCCGTAGCTCAATTTCTGCTAAGCTTTTTTTGGAAGGTTTAAAGATGTAATCTTGGTGAATTGGGTAATATATTGCCACAGCTGTTGTTCTTGGTTAGCATCAAATCTCCTCGTTTCTCTATTCAGAGGACTCATGCCGTACTTCATTGAAAAAATAAACATTTCCATATAAGTATGTTGTTTTTATTACTACGCACACATATAACCATAAAAAATATCATCAACATAAAAATTTTAACATGTCAGTAATTTCATTTTTATTATATTTTGTGTGTTATTTTCTTTTATTTTATTTGTCTTTTAAATCTTTCTCTTTCTCTCTCTCTGCTACAGATGTTCTCCTGGCGGAAGTCTATGAAACACATTTACGCGGTCCGGGCTTTGTCATGGAACCACCAGGACGTGTTGAGTTCTCGAATTCCTCGGGCGGTTGGCTGGATTGCTCAGCCTCGGGCAGCCCTCAACCGTCCATCGACTGGGTGCATGCAGACGGCACCGCCGTAACGGAAATTCATGGTGTACGCCGGGTGCTGCGCAATGGCACTCTGGTACTTTTGCCATTTCCGGCTGCCGCCTATCATCAGGATGTGCACAACACAATATATCGTTGCGTTGCCAGCAACAGTGTTGGGCGCGTAGTTTCCCGTGATGTGCAAGTCAGGGCTGGTAAGTACGAAGCCATCCTCATTATATGGAGAATGTGTGCATGATGTGGTGGCTGTCATTATGTTTGGTCACACGGTGTTATGCCATTTTTGGTGGTAGTTGCCGCCAACAAATTACATTCGATAATTAATTGAATCTATTTGCGATGCCATTCAATTTTGTGTTTCGAGATTTATTTATGTTTTTTTCCACATTTTTTCATGTGGCAAACACCGACAACGTTCGACCAATGTATTCGACATTCATTTTTATTATTGCAACACATTTCCTGTCATGTTTCTGTGTTCTTTGCTCGCCTATTTACGTACGGTGGTATTTGTTTTTTCTTTTCCTACTCTTCCTTTCTTTTCTCCGCAGTCGTTGCACAAGCTTACAAGGTTGATGTTGAAGTTTTATCTGCATCTCGAGGTTGCACCGCCATTTTGCGTTGTGTAGTACCGACATTTGTAAAGGAATTGGTTCGAGTGGTCTCATGGGTTCATGAACCTGCTATCTACATATATCCATCATTGCAAGGCGGTAAGTGTTCCCCCTCTCCCTCTCTTTTACACAAAAACACTCACTCGCTCACACACTCACACACACACACACTCATTCTTGTAGTTATCGTTATTCATTCGTATATTAAATTATGTATGCGGCGCATAAAAAAGCACGTACAAGGACCTCTTTTTTCGAACATTTGTATTGCACACACACACACACTCACATAGCCACAACGATTTTATTCATTTTACACAAGAACTGCCAGGATATGAATCATAAAAGAGCTACAAATTTGTACGTTTCTTGAAGTTGTCGAGCGGCATGGCGAGGCGTGTCTATGTTTGTAGGCAAAATTATGATTTCTGCGTTGGCAGAGAGCACTAGACAATGACAAAACCCCATATCCGGTATTTATTTGATTGTGCCAACCAAGATTGTGATAAATAATTCGTCATTCGTTTAAGTGCACGTTTCGTAGCACGTCGACTAAATTGATTAATTCGAGAATATTATTTTTGGAGCAAGGCAAAGAGTATTTTGAATGAAAATATTAAATAGAAATTGTGATGGGCAGGCATTTGGAGAAATGAGGAATTTCACTGAGCGATTTATGAATATGAAATCGCAATCAATTTTCATAAATCGTGTAATGTTTATCCAAATTAATAGCAATATGAAAGAAGGACCCTCCACCATTTGGAACGAATTTGGCAATTCTCAAAAACAATAAAATCCGTTAAAAATTCTGTTAAAATCTAAAAAATACCGAATGTAGCTGTTATATAAGGGTCTATACGACGACATAGACCTTCATAGGTAAATTTTGTCATAAGCTATTAGAATATTCAAATGCTAAACTAAACAAGTAAGCAAAGGCTATAGTCGTGCGGGCCGACTATGTCATACCCTACAACACTACAGTATGTTAGAAGCCCCCTTATGTCCAAATCCATATTGGAAGATTTCGCTTTTGAAATAAGGATTTTGACTAGAGACATTTGCCCAATATTTATGCACTCCGTCGTACTGTTAGTTGTTGTAGTCCATTTTACAGTTAAATATAATCCAATGATCATCCAAAATGCTAGAATTCTTCCCTGTCCTTAACTCTCTTCACATGTGTATCGATTGGTTTCAATTGTGTGATCGGAAAAACATTTCTGTTTTTGGGTAATTTGAACCCCTAAATATTTTGCAATCATCTCCAAAAGCCAGAAGCCCCTCTGTATCTCCAAATTTAGACTCATCAATATGATTTGCTTGTAAACGATATTTGGCTATATTCGTCAATGAAATCAGCATAAACAAGACAGAAGGTCGCCTTTTGTGTATTTCGGATATCGCCTGCAGTAATGCTAATACATAGCTAGATCGACTCAGCTCGGCGAGATAGGAAGATCTATATATACTTTCCTATGTGGGAAACCAATATTTCGAGGTGTTACATAATTTTTGGCCCAATCAAACTTATAATACCCCCAACACGTAGTGTTGTAGGGTATAAAAAGTCGGTGAATAATGTAGCTGAAATCATGGGGGCTATACGAAGAAATGGACCTGTACAGAAATTTTTCTGTCTTAGGCTGTAGTATCCCTTACGAACTTCAAATACCAAATTTGAAACAATTTCGGTGAATAATGTGGCTAAAATCATCAAAATACCGAATATCGGGGGTATCGTTATATGGGGGCTATACGAAGACTTGGACTTGCACAGACAATTTAATGTCTAAGGCTGCAGTATCCATTTGCAAAATCAAGTACCAAATGTGAAAGAATTCCGGTGAATAATGTCGCTTAAATCATCAAAATACCGAATGTCAGGAGGTACCGTTATATGGGGACCTACATGGCCCATTTTAAATACCAAAAGTCCTGCAGACATAATATACATTTGAGCTAAATTTTATCAAACTATTTCAATGCGTTCAGAAGCTAGAGTGATTTCCACAGACGGATAGACGGACGGACTTCGCCACAGAATTTTATGTCTGCTGTTTTTCTTACGATGTCTTGTAGGTAATTGGCGATTCCAGTTTTGATATTCAGATGTTTGAGCTATGATACGGAACAACGAGCCAAAGACTCTTGTGGAACTAGGGGCGAAGATACTGCGGAGGAATGAACTGAAGCCCCAGTGTAAATGAACTACCGACCACTCAACTTAATGAGAGCCAGTCCAAAAGATTTTCCCACGATTTTGTTAGTCGGTGTGAAAAAAAAAAAAAACGTTTCAAAAAATTACCAACTATTCTTTGCTAACACCCCGCATTAGCCTGTCTCATTGTATCACACACCAAAAAAAGTTGCGCTTGCATTACCAAGTGGATGAGAATTATTTACTCATTAGGTTTGCTTTTGTCATTGAAAATCTCTATAGGTCAAGCACTTGCCCCATTAAACGTCACTTGCATACAGGGTGAGGGTGAGGTAAAAGAAATGCAACAAAGTCAAACCCAATAATTTTTACATTTTTTTTTTAATTTTATTGAATGAAAGCAAAAATGTCGGAAATAGCATCAAATTTTAGAACAAGTTTAGATTTGTTCGAATTGGCACGAATTGTGGCCTTCAACGGGCCAATGAAACCGTTACACGTTGCCCGAATTTTGCTCTGCGGTATTTTGGCCCATTCCCGGCTAAGCGCTTGCTTGAGATGATGCACACTTTGGTATTTTTAGTGCCAACCTTGCTCTCCAAAATACTCCGGACACAATAGTCCAACGGATTGGTATCCGGAGATTTTGGTGAGCATTTTGCGTTGGAAGCGAGGAACCTCATTTTGTAACCGTTCTTGGGTGGCGCGTGCGGAGTGCGTTGGTGCTGAGTCCTGTTGGAATCCCCAAGGTCTGTGGCCAAAATGTTTGCCCAAGGCCTTTATACACCCTCCAGAATATTTTCGCGATAATATTCGGCATTACTTCTGATGCCACGGTCGATTAATACGACCGGAGAGCGACCATCGGCTGTTATGGCGGCCCACACCATCACCATGGCCGGCGCTTGAGTTCTGGTGGCCAATCGAAGGTGCACAATTTCAGCTGTCCTCTATGCCAAGTGAACACGACCATATTGTTTGTATAAAAACTGCTGGACAACAAATATTTGCTCATCGGAGACAACCAAATTCGGAAATAAACCACTTTCGGCCAAGCGAAGCAACTCTTTAGCTCTTTTGAGTCTATTTTTTCTATTGACGTGTAAGTTCTTCCACTTTTTTGAATTTTAATGGCTTTACCCCGAGCTAATTTTTCAATATTTGTCGAATGGAACATTGCGACATGTTCAGTTCAGAGCCATTTTTCGGTCACTGCGATGCGGGTTTCGATCAAATCGCTTCTTTACTTTTCGAACCATTTTTGCTGATGTTGCTACTTTCTTCCGTCCACTTCCTTGACGTGGGGCTACGCTACCAGTATCAAGTGCTCTAACGATAGTCACGCTTGAATTCCATCACGAATAACATTTTTTCTGGAAAATTCTCACCCGAATGCTTTTGTACGCTTGTAAACAATATAATGAGCTGTCACTGGAATAATTTTAACAGCTGTCGGACGAGTGGCTTAGAAATGACAGCAGTCTGAAGTTGGTTGCAGTATGTGTCAAATGTTGAATACCAAAAGTCCTGCAAATTATTTTCCGAGGTGTTACAAACGGAATGACAAACTTAATGTACCCTCCATTCTATGACATATTGCCCAAGAAGTGCTCCTACCCTTAAAAAAAAAACTAAAATGCCAAATTACTACTTTTTAGGGGGCTATACAAAAAATATGACCAATATTGACCATTATTGAAATAAGATTTCCTTTTTCAAGGGAATAAAAATGTCAAATTATTGGCTAAGTGGATGGGAAAAAAGTAGCTAAAGCCTGTAGAAAATCCTTAATTGGGCGATACCATTATATGTAGTCTTAACTTGAGCTTTCTTTGAATAAAAGCTACATATGTGCCAAATTGTTGGCAATTCATATCCAGTTGTTCTAATGACTACAACAGACAGACGGAGAGGCAGACAACAACAACAGACGAAGAGCAACAACTGATTTGAAAATGCTAATGCCACTTTCTTACGTAGGGTATAAAACCCAATATGCATATTAATAATCTTAGTCTTTTGAACTCATTCGTGATGTTCTCCAAAAAATACTATTCTATGCATTTCAAAAAAAAAACTTAATAATTTTTGTCAATTCATCCTTAAACGCTTCTAGGTCTTAGTTCATAAAACATCCTCCACAGTAAATTAATAAAATATATATATGTGCAATTTTGTGAGAAATAAATTACATTATTTAGTACATTTTACACAAATAAATACTTACGAATGACATATCTTCTCAATATATACTATGCATGTAGTCAACACACATCAACATAAATCTAATAAATATTACATTTTAATCAATTCTTGTCAATGATGCCGTAATAAGTTTATTGCAATTTTTATTACAGATGGCAAATTTCATCTCCTACCCACCGGTGAATTACTTATTCATAATCTGCAGGAGAGTGACGAGTCCCAATCGTTTCGTTGCCGGAGCATGCATCGACTGACACGTCAGGTTGTTGTCAGTTCGCCCACGAGACTGAGAATAAACTGTAAGTAAATAAATGAGGATATTGTTTGTAGCTGTAGATTATTTAGATAAAAATCTTAAAATAAGACTAGGATTGATTATTTTCAAGTAATCTATGAAATCGTTTTATAAGAATGCAATTGCAACACATGAAATAAGCAGATTTACGGACGGTATTCAAGAAATATTAAAGTTGTAAATTAATACATTCAAATTACTTTAACATATATATCGATGATCGGTATGGATCTTTCCATCTCGCCTTTCCGACTGTCCGCCGGCCCATATTTATTTGTAATCACGCTACATGTTGCATTCTGTATCCATGACAGGTAGGCGTCAGAATAGAAACCTATTATTTTTGGAGATTATCAAATATTTAGGGGTAGAAATCGGCGAAAAAAATCTTATGTTTAGGTTCACGATGGTTTCTGGAAATGTGCGGATTGGTAATTAACTCTGGGCTCAGCTATTTGCATTACTATCTGTGCGGAAGCAATTGGATTTATTTGAGTTGTTGCTGATAAAATTAGTTTTCTATTGATAGACCAAACATAAAAGATTAGTGTTGCTTTTCATTTGTCTCAAAAAAATCAAGTGGTTTGCTCTCGACTCGAAAGTATTTGGTCTGCAGCCATTGCAATTGATTGAACTGATTTCAAAGCGCAAGTAATTAGATGAATTGCTCTTGATACCGGATATTTTTTTAATCCAATAGTCCTAACCACCACAAGTCTTAAGGGTCCATAAAGAATATTTTTATACCCTCCACCATAGTATGGAGCGATGTCCGTCCGTCTATCCGTCTGTGAAAATCACTCTAGCTTCCGAACGATATGAAATAGGTTGACAAAATGTTACTTAAATGTACATTATGTCTATTTTGGCATTGAAAATGGGCCATGTAGGCCCGCGTTTTGGTATAGCCCCCATATAACGGTACCTCCAGATATTAGGTTTTTTTCGATGATTTTAGACACATTATTCACCGGCATTGACAGAAAATTGTCTGTGCAGGTCCGTGTCTTCTTATAGCCCCCATATAACGGAACCTCCCGTTATTCGGTATTTTGATGATTTTAGCGACATTATTCACCGGAATTGCTTCAAATTTGGTATTTAAAGTTCGTAATATATACTACAGCCTATGACAGAAAATTATCTGTGCAGGTCCACGTTTTGGTATAGCCCCATCGGTAATTTTATGATGTAGTCCATGTCGTCGTATAGACCCTTAAATAACGGCTACATTCGGTATTTTTAAGATTTTGATAGATTTTTTAACAGATTATTTTTTTTTTTTTTTTTGAAAATTGCCAAAATTCGTTCCGAGTGGTGGAGGGTATTCAAAGTTCGGCCCGGCCCATCTAATTGTTTTTATTAAGATCTTAAAAGATTTTAAACAATCCACGGGCCTCAAGAACCTTAACAAATATTTTCAAAATATACAAATCATAAAGGTCGTTAAAAAATATTTTTCCACGGATCTTAAAGGACCTTAAAAAATAAATACAAACATATAATATTCTAAAGGGTCCCTAAAGAATTAGTTTATAAAAACTCACAAGTAATGAAATAGTAGCCATTAAAAATCAATAAAAAAATCTTGGAATCTTAAGGACCATTGAATTTTTTTTTTATCCGAGAGTCATTAGAGCCATTGATTTTTTTTTTTTTAATTCCTAGGAGATTAATGGTTCACTGTTGGTTAAGGCATAATCGTGTGATTTGCTTTCGAATCGAATACCGGTTCGATAGTAAACTTGTGGCTTCTCACGATTCGAAAATATGCAGTTTTCAAAGTTAATGGTTTTTCGGATAATTTTCTCTTTCGAGTTCAGCTTATAATGACATACGGAGATGTCATAGAATAATCAGATATGTGATCATTTTTGGAAAATGTTGAACCATGCGTGAGTTTCCACTTCACGTAGGACAGATACAAATATTGGTATTTTTTGGTACATTTCATTTTAATTTTATTCGATTACACGATAATCATAATTTCTTATTCACATCAATTACCTGGTTGATAGCTATATTTAGATATGCCATATTTGTTTCGGGTTCCCAGAAGGGGTGGGCCAATATCTATCATCTTCATACCAGATTTTGTGTTAATAGAAATATTGGAATTCACGAACTTTAGAAATAATTAGATGCTAATTTAGCATTTTATGCGAAATATAGTTATTCAAAACTTTGACCCGTTGTGGAAGAGGTACCAGAAGGAATAGACTGATATATCTTATTTTCACTATTATGTATCATTCAAATTTTTAAATCTTTGTGGGGGAGGTACCAGAAGGAGTTGTCCGTTCTATCCGTTCTTTATACCAGATCTTGTGTTTGTAATAGGATGGAGATGTGTAAAATTTGAAGATCATGGGCCTCCTATTTCGCATTTTATAAGAGAGACGATTGTTGAATATTTTGACCATTGGAGATAATTGATGGTGGGCCGATATATTTCCTAAAACTATTGGGATTTCCAAAGTTTGCTTAAAATTGGGTTATCTTTTGTTCTTCTATAAGATAAACTTTTTCTGAGAAAATTTCGACCTTTTGTGGGGGAGTCACCAAAAGAGATGGACCAATATTGCCCATCACCAAACTCGATCTAAAATTGACAATAATATTGCGAAGTATCAAGTTTGGACCATTGAATATTGACTTTGAGAGTTATAGTGAGCACCAGCCAGTCAGGCAGATGGATGGACCGTCGGACTCCCCTAGATCGACTCCCAATGTCCTGAAACGGATTTGGATTTTAATGAGACACGTTTTTGACGTATAAACAATATTTACCCTCTGTAGCCACGAGGGTGTAAAAAATTAGAAAATATATTCTTGGCTTTTGGCAACATTTATGGAGATATTGTCTTTAGTGACTTTGTGAAATTTGATGAGGAATATTTATCTCTTTTATGTCATCCTTCTAAAACTATACTTTGCAGGAGTCTTTTGCAAAAAATCACATGATGTTCGATTTAATGTAAACTTTCAAAACTTGGTCCAAATTTTCTATCTCACCATCTCCATAAAATTGTATGTAACATACATTCTATTTCATTTCCACAAAATACATAATTTTTGTTAACAGCACGAATGCTTTAATCAACCGAATTCCGATACTCTCAAGTACTGCGCATAAAAGGCTAAATAACTGTCTTGTCACATTATCCATAATATATTTTGCAGTATCTAGATTTTTTCACATTACCTACAAAGCATTGTCCTCGAAGGATGTGAGGAAGTTCTCGCAGCCCATTTGCCATACATTTTTTTTATCCCTGAAAATTGTTGCATTCAACATTCTGTAATTGTGTTTGTGCCATTAAAGTAGCTAAATACAGAATTACTTACATTAGACTGCATTCATTACCAAAGCTTAGCTACCGGATCCATGAACTATGCCTGAAGTCATCCGCAGTAACTAGCAGCTGGCTAATTATCTTTTTAACGTTGTTGTTTACACATCTTGCAAATGTTTTAACCAACAACAACCAACAACGTTCTGTGTAGAGATCCTAATGAAGAGCAGTAGCTGCATGGATGGAAGGATTACAGCAGCAGTAGTAGAAGCAGCAGTACCTGTCAAGTGTTTGATGCAATTTAATTAAAAATTGTTTTTCTCTCCATGATTTCAGCTCATCGAGGCATTATATCGCCAAGTGTTGTTGAGCATACAGCACATGTGCAAGTTTCCCAGGATGAAGGTGCCGTGCTGTTGTGTGTGGCCCAGGGTTGTCCATCGCCGGAATACAGGTAAGTTCAATGCACTTTGTTTGTATTAGTCGTCTATGCGAAGTGGAAATTACCCCGCCATCGTCAGTGTGGATAGTTTAATAATTTTTAATTAGCGTTTGCCAACAAAACAAAGAAAACGCTTCAAGTAGAAGGGAAAGAATTTGAATTAAAATTGTTGCATTGCGTAAATATTTGTTAGGATAGCGATATGAGATGTTTGTTTGAATTACATTTATTTATGCGGCGGAAAATAAATTAGAATTACTGACTTTCGTAGCTTAAGACAATTTTTTTATTTATTTACTATCAGACTTATTTTATGTTTGCAATAAATCAAGGGGGATTATGTCCCTTATGGGAGATTTGTTATAAGTATATGACAATGTTGTGTTGTTTCTTTACCAAAGAAAGTGTTCTGTATTGTATTTGAAAATCCGAAAATGGAAGCCAATAAAATACATCTGAAGCCTTGGAGGCTAAATATTCCAAAACCACTACTGATCTGTAAAACAACACGTTAAGTGAAATCAGTCAGTATTGCCGACAGCAATCTGAAATTTGGTATTAGGGTCGCTGTTCATGCCTAATCTGGACATATGGTGGTGGTTTCGGAAATATGCACTATAATTGTATGAGTACTGAAAGGTACTAAATTTGGTGTTGGGGGGTTGTCTATGATTGGAAACCAGAAATTTGATACTTAGATTACTGATTGTATATAAGTTTGGAATTTTGACGATGGTTCGAAATGCGTCCTATACATGTACGAAAAGTATTAATAGTACTAAATTTGGTACTGGATTAAGGAGTAGGGCTGGAATCCTAAAAGTTTATATTGAGGTCTCTGTTTATGTATGGTGTTGAGATCTGGTGGTGGCAAATTCGTACTATAATTGTTCGAAAATACTAATGGTGCAAAATTGGGTATTTGGATAGAGATAAAATTCTGAGATTTGATATTTAAAGTATTGTTGGTATCTGTGTTTGGAATGCGTCCTATTTTTGTACGAAAAAAATAAATAGTACAAAACTTGGTACTGGTTGAAGGAAAAGTGCTGAAATCCTGAAATTCGAAAAATGGGGCTTCTGTTGGTATCTGGTATAGAGATATGGTGGTTTTTCAAATGCGTACTTTATTTGTTCGAAAAGTACAAAATGGTACTAAGTTTGGATCACTGTTTTTGGTAAGCATGCAGAAATGTAGATTGCTTTGGTTATTAGTAGCAATTGTTTCTGAATTTGATTTATTTTGATTTGATTTTAAGGGATAGAGCTGGTATTGCAGCCACTATTGCTTTCCAGGGTTTACACATAGAGACGTTGAAATATTTTTGCACACAAAAATTGGTTGTGGGTCCATTGTGCAATGGTTTTATTAATATCCTCTGTAAACTTCAAAATGAAAGATTTTGAAGATTTTTTGGTTTAAGAGGTAAACATTGTCCGTCTTTCTTTTTTCCGATAAAAGTAAAAAAAAAACTTGAAATTCTGAACATTTAGTGAAATGTGTGTACATATGAAGTGGGGAGGTACTTGATGGAGTGCACCGATATTGTCCATTTTGGAAAATTTAACCAAAATTGGTCGATTCCTTCATTTTCTATGAGATAAATTATTATTTATGAAAAAATTGATGTCTTGTAGGGATGGTACCAAAAGGAGTGGACCGATGTTGCCCATATCCGGATTCTATTTAAATTTGACAATAGTATTACCATGCACCAAATTTGGATCAAATCGGATTCTCACTTCGAAAGTTACTTTGCGCACCAGCCAGACAAACGGACGGACACCCTCAGATCGACTCCAAATGTCCTGAAATGGATTTGGTTCAAAGAGACCAAGGGTCTAAAACCGTTATTTGATGAGGCAAGTATTCTACTCTCTCCCTAGTCATATGGCTGAGGGTATAATAACACATAGAATTGTAAAAAATGCATGAACAAGTAATTTGAATTGATAGTACGGCCCAAATAATTTAATATTTGAAGATTATTTCATGCAAATGGTAATCCCGACTGCGTCTCAAATTGTCCATAATACCCTTAGTCCAATTTTGGCATACTCTTTCCAAAGCTGTGACCGGTATTTCGCGAAAAAATGCTTCAATGTTTTGATTCACTGTATCAATTGAAGTGGGCTGGTCTGTATAGAGATGAGCTTAAGGTAGCCCCACAAAAATAGCCAAGAAGCGTTAACTCGCTTGATTGACCGGTCCAGGACGTGAAACAAAATATTCACCGAACTCTCTCGATGTGTTCATTGTTACGCGGCCATTGTGCGCTGGAAATGAAGTGTGGAAACTCATTTTGTAACCATTCTTGGGTGGCGCGTGCTGAGTGCGATGGTACTGAGTCCTGTTGGAATGTCCAAGGTCTGCGGCCAAAATGTTTGCCTTCCCGAGGCAATACACACTTCAGAATATTTTCGCGATAATATTCGGCATTTATTATGATGCCATGGTCGATTAATACGAACGGAGAGCGACCATCGGCTGTTATGTCGGCCCACCCATCTTCATGGCCGGCGCTTTAGTTCTGGTGGCCAACCGAAGATGCACATTTTTAGCTGACCTCTTTGGCAAGTAAACACGATCGTTTTGATTGTTTACAAACTGCTGGACAACGAATGTTTTCTCATCGGAGAAAACCAAATTCGGCAGTTCACCACTTCCGGACGTGCGAAGCAACTCTTTAGCTCTTTTGAGTCTATTTCCTTTCTGTTGCGGTGTAAGTACTTGCACTTTTTGGAACTTCAATGACCTCTGGGTAAGGTTATTTTACAATATTTGCCGAATGACACTGCGACGGGGGTTTCGACCAAGTCGCTTCTTTACTTTTCGAACAATTTCTGCTGATGTTGCAGTTTTCTTCCGTCCACTTCCTTGACGTCGGGCTACGCAACTACTTTCACGGTAATGAGCAATGGTTTGAGACACCAAAGGTTTATTCGCATTTAAACGCTGGAGTGCTCCAACGATAGCCACTTGCGGTGTTCCAGCCAAATATAAATAAATCATACTATCACGCTTGAATTCCATCTAGCTATGTATGTCCGTCCGTCTGTCCATGTTAATTTGTAATCACTCTACAGGTTGCAATTATGGCCCGAATTATCGTCCGATTCTCACAAAAATTTTCACAAGAGCAGGGTTATTGTTTACAAAGATTTCCGCATTTTTTTAGGGGTTGAAGAGGACCAAGAACTTAAAATGTTCCTGATTTTGCAGCCATTATAATTGTCACAGAAACCAAAGGACACGAAATCTCGCATGAACATAGAGTATGGGACAGCGGGTAGAATCGATCACTACTTTTGTGTGAAAAAACACCAACAGTACTTACAGGCGTTATTCGATATACACAAAAGGCGAACTTTTTTATGCTGATTTCGTTGACGAATATAGCCAAATATCGTAAACAAGCATATCATATTGATGAGTCTAAATTTGGAGATAAAGATGGACCTCTGGCTTTTGAATATGATCGCAAAATATTTAGGGGTTCAAATGAACCAAAAACAGAAAAACTTACCTGATCTCACAATTGAAGCCAATCGACACGTCTGAGAAGGGAGTTAAGGACAGGAAAGAATTCTAACATTTTGGATGACCATCGGATTATATTTAGCTGTAAAATGGACCACAACAATTAACAGCACTACAGAGTGCGTATATATTGCGCAAATGTCACTGGTCAAAATGCTAAGGGTAATTTCTGGGCAGTGCTCCGTGGCACAATTTCAAAAGCGAAATCTTCTTAATTGGAATTGGACATAAGACTGCTTCTAACATATTGTAGTGTTGTAGGGTATCACATGGTTGGCCCCGCACGACTATAGCCTTTGCTTACTTGTTTTTGAAATAAATATAACTCGAGTAACTTTATTCTGACTGCCTAGAATAGTGTTCATATTATTTGTAAACAAATGGACGACCATTTGTCAAATTTGTCATATAATTCAGTTTTCTAATATTTTGGTGTATCTTCAGTATCGCATCTTCAACTTCAAGGACAATGCTACAGGCTACCACATTTTCGAAACAAAGAATATGCCTCATTAGGTCAATTATGGCAAATGCCACAGAAATTACACCAAGTTTATAAAATTAAAGTTTAGTTTTAGTTAAATCATTTAATTGCGCATATTTGTAATGTATGTACGAAAGTACACACACATGCTTAAATGTTTTTGTAAGTGTTGACCTATACCTAAAGTTCACAGCAAGTCTTCAAGTTTGCTAGAAATGCTCTTGCCAGCAAGAACTAAGGATCGCCGCACAACAAATCGAATTACAATTATAATATGACCAAAACAATGTTTATTAGTAGAGATGAATGGAAGATAACGACGGATGGATAGGTATCATAATTGATGCTTTAAGTACAACAGAACATACGTCTATACTCATGTATAGATATATGCATAAGTCTGTATGTATGTGTAAAATAAACTTCAAAGAAGTAGATGAGATTATCACATACATACATACCACGAAGTAAAGATAAACATAGGGTCACAAACAGAAGCTTAGCATAAGTAGTGACACAAATGGATGTCTAAGTTGTCTATGTATGTATGTATATATGTAGCAATACTTTGCACCAGTCCAATAAATGTATATCACACACGTACGTCGCCTATGTATACATGAGGGGGCCACTTAAAAATGCTGCAGAGCGTAGTGAATGAATGTTTGAAAAGCAAACAGAGCAAAATAATTAAATGAATGGATACTGTAGTCCTTTCGGATTATAAAGCGGACTTTACACACTACTTATTCTGCTGCTAACATATACATGTACGCATGTATATATTCGCTGATATACATATTTAGTCTAACTGAAATACCGGGTTAATGTTATTTGAAGTTCGATATAAATAAGCAAGCTTTGTATAATCTGTTGTTTGTAATTGTCGTTGGGAAAAAATATAATAAATTACTTCATCACAAGTAAAACACTAAACTAAAAACGTACGTACTCCCAATACTGAATTTTAAGCCAGTCTACTTGAAA